ATTAATTCCGGAGGACAAACTTGCAAATAACACCCCTTTTCTCCGGTCTACCTCCGAAAGCAGCACCTCCAAATCACATTCTGTTCAAAGTTTCTCTTTTTGCTTGCTTTTAACATTGCTTTTTTGTTGGGTTTTGCCAAAGTAGAGTCATTAGCATATTCATACCGGGGAGGAGGCTGGGAGGGGTTTTGCGCTCGTGCACGTGCGCTCAGTTTCACGTTCATTCAGATGTACAAAGAGAAGATGCATGGGATTCGGCATACGCAGTGTTTCATACATCTACATTTTTTGTTGCGTACGCACATTTACAGCTTTGTGCGTATGCAATGTTTTAGTATTAATTCAACAAATTTGTATGAGGCCCCAGAACTAGAATGTGCCCATTTCACTCCCACCATTTCCAAAAATATGTTTATTTGCCTATATATTTATAGTGTATCATCAGAAATAGAGCTGTGCATGGGGGTTTCAGTCTGATTGAGCGACTTTAACAGGGGCCGGAGTTTGCATCCTGAAGGGCATCCGCTGTGTAAAACATATACTGGAATAGTTAATGGTTCATTCTGCTGTGGCAACCCCTGATAAACAAAAGGAACTCAGCCGAAGAAAAATAAATAAATGAATGATAATTATTAATTCATAAAGTAAATAAGCTTCCATTGCATTATCCTATTAAGTAATATCTGCATAACGTTAACTAGAGGACACACAGGACATCTTTGAAGTGTTGTGAAAGCACAGCCTCTCTCTTTCCTTCACTCTTGGCTTCTGCAGTTCTGCAAGCAGCTGGACTCACAACACACTGCTTCTACTATTTACAGAGATCTCACAGCACTACAAATGCTGTAAAACCCTCAGATCATCCAGAACTAAAGGTAAAAACACACAGATCCCTTGTTTAAATCAGTCGAGATGTCCTTAAAACACAATGTGTCTGACATGTTCTGTCCTATTCCTGCTCCATTCATTCCTGTAAGTGACGACAGCAGATCGGTCTCTGTTTCATCATTTTTCCTCAGGCATTATAAAAAGTGAAGACACACTTTTAAGGGATGTGCGCAAGTAACTTGTTAACACTGCATTTAAAAAGACGTTTGGCTTCTGTTATACACTACATGACAAAAGACTTGTCGTCGATCACAGTTGGAAGAGCAACAAATAGTAACTTGACTTCTTTTTGATCATTTGGAAAAGTGGCAGAAGGTCGATTTTTCTGATGAATCATCTGTTGAACTGCATCCTGATCATCACAAATACTGCAGAAGACCAGCATAGAGCCAAGATTCTCCTAGAAATCAGTCAAGTTTGGTGAAGGAAAAAATCATGGTTTGGTGTTACATTCAGTATCGGGGCGTGCAAGAGATCTGCAGAGTGGATCAAGACATTTGTGCTGCCCATTACATTACAAACCACAGGAGAGGGCAAATTCTTCAGCAGGATAGCGCTCCTGCTCATACTTCAGCCTCCACATCAAAGTTCCTGAAAGCAAAGAAGGTCAAGCTGCTGCAGGATTGGCCAGCCCAGTTACCAGACATGAACATTATTAAGCATGTCTGGGGTAAGATGAAGATAGGAGGGATTGAAGATGAATCCAAAGAATCTTGATGAACTCTGGGCTGCAAGAACGCTTTCTTTGCCATTCCAGATGAGTTTATTAATAAGTTATTTGAGCCACTGCAGAGATGTATGGATGCAGTCCTCCAAGCTCATGATGAAGTCAGACACAATATTCATTCCTGACTTTATATTCTATACTGGACATTACTTCTGTTAAATGAAAAGACCGTACTGTTCTAATTAAACAATTAATAATCAAGGCATGATCATATTTTATTTTAGTAAAATAAGCGTAATCTAGAGGCCTTTGCCTTTCATATAAGCCACTTCTGATACCAAATGATCAACTAGAAGTCAAATTATTATTTGTTGCTAAAACTTGTATAGGTGACGAGACTTGTCAAGTAGTGTAGTACTCCAACATAATTAAGGCTTGTGTTGTTCCAAATTTTGGCTTCTTAAAAAAATACACCGCTGCAATGCAAACAAAACCTCTAACAATGTTTTCTTTCAACATACTAAAAATAAAAGCGCACACAAAAGTATCCATCCGCATGCAGAAGGTCATGTAAGTTATCTAGTGCAATAATGTTGCTAAAGTCCGCTTGCATATTATATTTCTACACTGTTATAAAGATGCAGAAGTACAAACAGTCATACCAGCAAGGTTTTTATTTGTTTGCATTCCTTGCTACAACCTAAAAAAATGCTGGGTTGTTGTAACCCAACTCTGGGTCAAATGTAGACAAAACCAGCAGCTGGGTTAAAAAAATAATCAATGTTTACTTAACCCTTTAACTGTCCCACCAAGAAAAAAATGTTTTGGATTGCATTTTTTTAAACTCTTAATGTCGCTATTTAACACACTCGAGGCTTTTTTTTCAACACATCCCATAATTTCTAAAATATCAATCTGTACCAAGTGGTGGATATGTCGTTTTTTGGTAAAAGTACTGGAATTAATACACATAAAATAAAATAAAATATGAAAATATGAAGTGTAAGAATATAATCAAAATAATACCTTTTTGAATACTAAATCATCTTTATTATTTGAAGTATGCCATAAAATATTTCAGATTCTCATTTGACACGTTTTATTTATTTTATTTTTTTTTTTACAATAAAACCAAAATCAAGTGTAGTAGTGCAACAGGATTATGTTTGATATTTTTTGTAAATCAACAATGCTGTGTGTGTAAACCATTAGGGCTGTGCAAATACTCGAAATCGAATCGCAATTTGATACGTTGCGGTTGCGGTTAGTTAATCACAGGAGGCTGCAATATAAATGTATATATACAGTATGTAAACAAAAATAACGAATAACATCTTCAAAACCAGTCCTCTACTACGCTTCAGAAAATTAAACATGCTAGATTTTCTGCGACATTATCGTGAGGCATCGCAGACAAGGTATCAGTTGTCGTGAATTATGCCACATAACATGAGAAGAAACGATTGAATCTTGTCACGACGTACATTTGTCATGTATGACTCCCCACATCACCTTACGTCAAGGAAATCATACCGAAATCGTGTGATCTGACCGGGGCTTCATAACTAGCCAACGGAGTAAGCACACTTTTGTTTTGGTAAATAACAGCTGAATGGAAGTTCGGCTGCACATGTATTCACCATGGTATCTTTAAGTGAGGTAAAGTGGGTTTTATATTTGCACATTAATTCAGTGACAAGCTCAACTCACTCCCTATATTGTTTACCATGGTACTTTGAATATTCGGTCTGAAATCACATGCAAGTATGACTTGAAAACAACATTAGCTCAATTTATTTGGCTGTGAACAATGTTGTAGGCTACTTTGACAGTCATTAGCTACTAATTTGAGTTCACTGTTTCATCGCATCCACTTCCAATTCTCATGTGCACATTTTTATTTGTGCTTTATAAATTGTGATTTCTGAGGGAAAATTACACCTATTTTTTCAGCATGAAGACATAATCTAAAAGACAAAAAAACGTACAGTACCAAACAGAAAAAGGTGAATGTCTGATATAATGTAGTGTAACATAGTTCATTTAAGTAATAACAGTGGCTGAATGGGAGTTTGGCTGCAGCTATATTTACCATGGTATCTTTAAGTGAGGTAAAGCTGGTTTTATATTTGCACAATAATTCAGTGACAAGTTCAACCCGCTCCCTATATTGTTTACCATGGTACTTTGAATATTCGGTCTAAAATTACATGCAAGTATGACTTGAAAACAACATTAGCTCAATTTATTTGGTTGTGAACAATGTTGTAGGCTACTTTGATAGTCACTAGCTACTAATTTGAGTTCACTATTTGATCGTATCCACTTCCAATTTTACGTTTAGATTTATATTTGTGTTTTATGAATTGTGATTTCTGAGTGAACGTTATACCAATTTTTTTCAGCACGAAGACAATTTAAAATAAAAAAAAAACTTTACAGTACCAAACACAAAACTGAACAATATCTTGTAATTATTTATTATACTTCACTGAGGTAAATAACAGCTCAATGGGAGATGGCGCACTTCTATTTACCATAGTACGTTTAATTGAGGTAAAGTTTATTTTATATTTGCACATTCTTTCATTTACAACTTGTGACACGTTCCCAATATATTGTGCTTTGAATATTCGGTCTGAAATCACATGCAAGTATGACTTGAAAACAACATTAGCTGCTCTATTTATTTGACTGTGAACAGTGCTGTAGGCTACTTTGATAGTCATTGGCTACTAATTTGAGTTCACTGTTTCATCTCATCCACTTCCAATTTTCACATTTAGATTATTATAATTCTGCTTTATACATTGTGATTTATGAGGGAAAATTACACCTATTTTTTTTAGCATGAAGACAATCTAAAAGACAAAAAACGTACAGTACCAAACAGAAAGCAATGAATGATATAATGTAGTGTAACATAGTTAATTTAAGTAATAACAGTGGCTGAATGGGAGTTTGGCTGCAGCTGTATTTACCATGGTATGTTTAATTGAGGTAAAGCGGTTTTTATATTTGCACATTTATTCAGTGACAACTTGCTTCCAATATTGTTTACCATGGTACTTTGAATGTCTGAAATCACATGCAAGTTTGACTTGAAAACAACATTAGCTCTATTTATTTGGCTGTGAACAATGTTGTAGGCTACTTTGATCGTCACTAGCTACTAATTTGAGTTCACTATATAAAAAAAAACGTTTGTAAAGTTATATCATAAATGGGAAAGCTCGAATGTGTGAATATAAAACCAACTTTACCTCAAAAAGTTTTGCCTATACTTAAATGAAGCCAAACGAAATTCGAATAAATGAACTTTCAGCTTCATAAAGATTAATGACAATCACAAAATCACGTGCTGAAAAATGTCAAACTCACGTTCGCGGTCAATAATACACCGGTTTAGGGAACTACAAACATAAAGAGTTTCTGTCTGACTTACTTTGCGCAACTTTCCCGTCTCGTCCACTTCCCTCATGAGAGACGGAATGAAGACCTCGATGACAGGAGACACACACTGATGGTCCAACATCTCAAACACACACACACACACACACACACACAAACTAGACTGAAGCTCACCTCGACTAAGAGTGTTGTGAATGCTCTCTGATGAACAATCCAGCGTGGATGGATCTCCAGAGCTCCTCCCTTTCCAAACACCACACCACACGCGCGAGCACGCATAAGCACGCACACACACAGCTGAGGGTAATAAATAAAGCCATTCATTCAGAACGACACGCTGATTAGGGTTTATGAACATTGTTAAAGACGGTTTAATGCATTAAATAATTAATTTGTCCTATTTTTTGTAAATAAGTCGTCATTGAATGCCCCGCCCCCAATTCTGTTAGCGAATCACGAAGCGTCGCTGTGACATTAAAATATTCATAAATTATTTTAGATTTTCCCATTCATAGTCATTAAAAAGTATTTTTTAAAGTTTTGAGTCATAAACCAAACCGCTATGAGGAGAATCACAATAAAAACTATGATTTAAAGTGAAGTAAAATATGAATAAATTAATAAATGAATAAATGAAGGAAGGAAGGTAAGGCCGATCCCCCAAAGATGCAAAAACAAACAACAAAGAAATATAAAATATTAATGGAAAGTTGTTAATGTAATATTCATTCATTTTTCTTCGGCTTAGTCCCTTTAATCATCAGGGTTCGCCCCAGCGGAATGAACCGCCAACTCATCCAGCATATTTTACACAGCGGATATCTTTCCAGTACTGGGAAACACCTATACACACTCATTCACACATACACTGAGGTGAATTTACCTTATTCAAAATTCACGCATGTGTTTGGACCATGAGGGAAACCGGAGCACCCGGAGGAAACCCACACACCAACACAGGGAGAACATGCAAACTTCACATAAAAAAGCCAACTGACCCAGCCGGGACTCAAACCAGCGACCTTCTTGCTGTGAGCCTAAATATGTGAATAAATGTACAAGATACTGATGACCAACAAGATAAGCACTGTGTAATTCGCCTAAGAAGTCCACAGTACCAAACAGAAAGCAATGAATGATATAATGTAGTGTAACCTAGTTGATTTAAGTAATAACAGTGGCTGAATGGGAGCTTGGCTGCAGCTGTATTCAACATGGTATCTTTAAGTGAGGAAAAGCTGTTTTTATATTTGCACATTTATTCAGTGACAACTTGCTTCCAATATTGTTTACCATGGTACTTTGAATGTCTGAAATCACATGCAAGGTTGCCTTGAAAACAACATTAGCTCTATTTATTTAAAACTCCACATAAAAAAGCCAACTGACCCAGCCGGGACTCAAACCAGCGACCTTCTTGCTGTGAATAAATGTACAAGATACTGATGACCAACAAGATAAGCACTGTGTAATTCGCCTAAGAAGTCATTTATTTTTGGTATAGGTCAGTCGGCGGCGAGCATCAGCAGTAAACCTGACGTCCTCAGCTCTTCTGTCTGAAAGGAGAATAAACGAGCATCACATGATTTCCTATGACACACGAGCATTCATGCATTTACCGCTGACTAAACACACACATTCCAGTCTGAAGAAAACACACATTCCTGATGCTCAAGTGCTCCTCTGCTCCACTTTTGACCCCTGAAGCGGTGGAAAATAAACAGGGTGATGTTTAATTATTAATCAGATTATATTCAAAGGATTTGGGTAAAATATTAATTTTGTAATATTTTTTACCACAGTAAATGTTCGTCAGATGGAAATTTACGATGAGAGTAAATAAAATTGGCCATTTACTATAAGAGTACTGAATGATGTCAAATAAATACTGAAAAGGGAAGACCTGCTGGATCACTTCCTTCTAAAAGCCAGTGTGTGTGTGTGTGTGTGTGTGTGTGTGTGTGTGTGTGTGTGTGTGTGTGTGTGTGTGTGTGTTTCGGTTTCAGGAAAAGACAAATATTTGAAAGTATTAATGCGAGCATGACCAGTGTTCACTTAGCACACATAATTTTCTTTAACAAAGCTGAAATAAAATATAGACAAGACAAACAAAAATTAGATTTTTTTTCTTCAAAGAAATAATTACAATATTAATACATAGTAATACATTTTGGGCGTTTAAAATTATAGTTGTGCATACATGAACATTATTTTTAACTTCAAATTAAAAAAAAAATTAAAACAAAAGAAATTAAATATTAATCAATAATTATATAAAGGTGTACACACATACCAATGATGATTTGAATATTAAAAGTATGACAAATAAACAAAATATTTGTAAAAATATTTTAAAGTGACAGTTTTACTTTTGGCATTGGTTATATAAAATGCAACGTTTGTAATAATAAACAGAGCCAAAAAAAAAGCCAAATACGTGTAACCCACCGGTCCTACTGCACCCAACCTGATGTGAGCTGCAATCAAACCGATGATTCTTTGTATGGGAGTCTAAAGTCTATGGCCTCTATAGCGTCTGTTGCTAGACCACCTTTAGAGGTTAAAGGAGTTAAGTTTACCTGCATAGCACTTCGCTAGCTAGCCTCCGTCACATTCACGCGCCTAAACTTCACTCTCATCCCGGACGAGCCCCCACGTGTAACCCACCGGTCCTACTGCACCCAACCTGCTCGGGGGTGCGTTTCCCAAACGACATAACTCGCAGGCTAAACTGTCATAGTGTGATGCATTGTTTGGGAAAAGAATTATGTAGTGACGAGTTTTTCCCAAAACCTGTCGTTTCTCTGTCGCAGATCCATCATTTGAACCTTGTTAGGTATTGCGTAGAACGCCCATTATTATGCTCTAAATGGGGTGGAGTAACTATTACTTTAGAGAAGAACCCCATAATTTATTAGTGCAACTTCTATTATTTTACATGCGCCCGCATCAGGAAAAAATCCAGTGTTCGTTTTGGTCCCACTTATATATATTGTGTCTTTAACTACTATGTACTTACATCAAAAAAATAAATACAATGTACTTACTGTGTTTATAATGTATTTGAGAACACTTGTGGTGCTTTTGAGTTGGGATAGAGGTTGGGTTTTGGACAGGTTTGGTGGTGTGGGTAGGTTTAAGGGTGGGTTAAGGTGTTAAGGGATGGTCAACAGAGTATTTAGAAATTAATTACAAAAGTTAATAACAGATGTACTTACATACATTCATTTAATCAAGCATAAGTACACAGTAAATACATGTATTTACACAATAAGTACATTGCAACAAACTTTTAATTCCTGTGTAAGTACATATTAGTTAAGGCCACTTAATATAAAGTGGGACCTTCGTTTTAGTATAACATGCACTTGTTTTCCATATTTATTGAAATATAAATGGCACATATAGGACCCGTGTTTCCTTCACAAATATTATCGAGAACATTACATATTCTATTGGAAATTAACATAAAATCACTTACAAAAGCTAACACCTACTCTAATATCATGAATATATCATAGAAATAAATAAATAAATAAATGAGGCGATTTATTTAAAAATTCAATTTAATATTTATTATTTATTTAAATCCGGCTTTAATAACAATATTAATAGCATTAATGATGATGAGCTTTGGGGACGTAACATAGCCTAAATTCTGCTTTCAATTATTAGATCACCTATAGCAGGCATGTCCAAACTCGGTCCTGGAGGGCCGATGTCCTGCAAAGTTTAGTTCCAACCCCAATCAGACACACCTAGGTTACCTAATCAAGCTAGGCTAGGCTTTCTAGAAACATCCTGCAGGTGTGTTGAAGTAAGTTGGAGCTAAAATCTGCAGGACACCGGCCCTCCGGGACCGAGTTTGGACACCCCTGACCTATAGCTTTCGTCATGACCCACGACTGTGTTCAAAATGACATCAATGTTTTCAAAGCGCACTGCGAAGGGACCACAATTGTAAAAAATACTTTAAAAGCAAATTAGACCCAAAAGAAATGACTTTATGGATTTTTAAAATTTTTATTGGGGACAATCACAGCCAGGAACTGTAGTTGAAAAGCAACAAATCAGCATCCGTTTTCCTTTGGATGCTATACAAAACAGTCATGAGCGTATCGTTTTGTTGTACTTATAATGTCCTTGGAGGATTAATATAATTTCGGTTTTACATTACTTATTTTACTTAATTATTAGTAATTAAGGCCACTTTATTAGGTACATCTACTGGGTTGGACCCTCCAGGGCTCAACAATAAGGACCGCCCGATGGCCCGCGGCCGGTGCGAGAGATGCTCAGGACAGTAGACAGAATCATTACTGGCCCAATCGGGTCACTAAATTTCAATTTACCTGCTACTATTTGTCAATTGTGCGCAAATACGGTCTTAGAATCGAGCTTTTAAGTTGTGCTTTTTAAGTCTTTGAATGCTGCCTTCTCTGTGAAGTAGTGAACCACATTGGTCACACTTTACAATAAGGTTCATTAGTTAATGTTAATTAATGCAATTACTAACATGAACAAACAATGAACAATACATTTACTACAGTATTTGTTCATGTTAGTTATCGTTAGTTATTGAAAATGCAGTAGTTCATTGTGAGTTCATGGTAACTCATGGTGCACTAACTAATGTTAACAAGCATGGACTTGGATGTTAATAATGCATTAATAAATGTTCAATTATGATTAATAAATGCTGTACATGTGTTGTTCATGATTAGTTCATGTTAGTAAATGCATTAACTAATGAACCTTATTGTAAAGTGTGACCACCACATTGCTTTTCGTTTGCTCTTATCTGATTGGATGTTGTGAGCACGTTATTTTTTTCCATAACCTGGTAAAAACCAGTACAGCAAAGAAAAACAACAACAACATGTGTTTACATGGGTACAACAGGGCGAAAAAAGTGAAGTGATGTGTTGCATAGTTTGCCGTTACTTTTAAGTCAGTCACCTTTTGTTTTGCAATAAAATACCTGCACATTTTCCATACTGCAATATTTTACAGCTAAATATTTTAATATTTCTAAAATATTTAAATTCTGGATTCACAGACATTATTTTTGACACATTATTTAAAATATGTGGCTAAGAAATAGCAATAAACTTTTTTTTTGGTGGGGCCAGTGAAAACTTTGGCAGGGCAAGTAAAAATCTGAACCACTGGTCCAGTTGGGCCAGTAGAAATCATCATTAACGTTG